ATGGGTTTGCACGGTATCTCAGTTATTATGAAAGATAGAAAGTTGCGGCTTTCGCGAACCTGAGCTACTTTTTTGTGAAACTTACAATGGAGCAAACCAAATTTTCATAGCCCTCTTCGTTTTTGATATACAGGGAGTGTTTCAAAATTTACGATTTTCAGACACCTCCTGTATCTCGGCTATCCGGAAACGTAAAAACGGGTTCTAATAGATTTTTTCACGTAGAATCCAATGGTGCACGTTGAATTTTTCTATTCATCACGGTTTTTGAGTTATAAAGAGTTAAGTATTTTAGAAGTTGAGTATTCAGTATTTGAGTTGTGTTTATAACTCAAAAACCGTAATGACTAGAAAAATTCTACGTGCACCATTGGATTCTACGTGAAAAAATCTATTAGAATCCGTTTTTAGTTTTTTACTAAGTTTGCGAATAGCCCAGATACAGGAGGTGTCTGAAAATCGTAAATTTCAAACACTCCTTGTATATCAAAAACAAAGAGGGCTATGAAAATTTGGTTTGCGCCATTGTAAGTTTCACAAAAAGTAGCTCAGGTTCGCGAAAGCCGCAACTTTCTATCTTTCATAATAACTGAGATACCCTGCAAACCCATCGAAATTTGGACACCCTGTACTTTGTAGGGGTGATATTTTTTTTCTTAAGAAATCTTGATATTGTGCTTCTAGATGTATTTAAATTTGCAGCAATATTGGTGATGTTTGAATGCGCATTTTCCTCTACACTTAACAGGACATCCAATTGACGGTCTTCATTTAAGGCCAGTGGACGTCCGGTCTTAGGTTTATCTCGTACATGACCAAGTTCGCGAAATTTACTCTCAATTCAACTTATTGTCGATAGTGATATTGGAGTACGGTTTGGATGTTTTTCGTTAAACACGCACGGACTTCGTTATACGTTCGGACTCTATTTCCGAAACCAATCATCATAAGAATCTCGATTCTTTCAGTTTCAGTAAGCGTCATTATTAGTTTCTTACTTATCGAAAAGTCAATAAATAAAAAATAACCAATAATAGATAAACAATAAGATCAAATAACAACAAAAAAGTAACAACGAATAGCGATGAATAGCAACAAATAACAATGAATAACAACAATTAACACAAGAAACTCCACAATACTACTCAAGATAATCTCATTAACGCACAATACACTGTTTCAAATTGAATTTTGACACTTGGAAATTTTAAATCAAAATATTTGGTTGCCATGGTTACGCACGGCTACTACTATTTTTTAAATCAAATGAATGGAAAATAAAGAAACTTTAAATTAATTTTTCTCGAAAATTTTCTTATGTAACCAATATTAATATTTATTGTACATAATTCAGAAAAAAATTCTCTTTCAAATTCCGATATAAAAAATGGGGTGTTCCATTTAAAAAAAACTTCGATGACGTCATAACTCGTTTAAAAATGGGGGAAAAAATTTAAAATATACACCAAAAATTTGTTTTTTTGCAATTTTTTGGTGTATATTTAAAAATAAAATAAATTTTAACAATGTAGGGAAATAGGTATGCAGCAGTTGGTAACACCGTAACACTTGAAAATAGAAATTTGAATTGACAATTAGAAACTGTCAAAACACAAAATGTATTCACCTGAAAAAAATGTTTCATGTACACCTCCCAAAATAAGAGAAATTGTTCAGTGTTCAATGTCCTCATCATTGTGGACCTTGCATTCGATGCTAAGAACGTGTTTATTTAAACATCCATAGACAAAAATTGTCACATTGACAACTAGAAAAATTAATGACCCAATGTCACCAACTTGAACTGGTTCCATAAAATGTTACTAAAATCTCATTACAGCATCGGATGCTGTAAGGAGTCTCATTACAGCACCCGTTTGAGTACTGTTAGAGCTTTCGTTACCGTCGCGAATTACAAAAAATATATATCAAAACGGTGGACGTTTAAATCGTAAATGAAATTTAAATAAAGGTGTATGTATGTAATACTGTAGATTTCCGAGTATGTATTTAATTCACTGTAATTCCTTTCCATATATCGGGGGCTGTAATCGGGCGCATTGTTGAAGCAAGATGAACAGATTTCGGTGTGATGATTAAACCTTCTCTAAGAACAGGATTCAATTTATCTGTATTATTTCGCTCAGCATACACAGTTCGCGAGAATCGTTCAGTAGTCTGCGAACTTTTAACGTGCTGATAAGCCAAAAAAAAAAAGAAAATTTGTCGGGTATAGATATACGCAGGAAACGTAAGAGGAATAATAGTAAACCCAGCTGTTGTCGACAAAATCCTTGAATTTTATTTGTGTTAACTTCAGTTTCTGAATTAGTAATTTGCAAAGTATGTAGAAACCTGTTTTGGTGAATTCAGTACTCGTGGATTAGGATTTAAAATAGCAATGCAATGTATACTTTGTTGTCCTTTAATTCAAAAGTAAATCGTATGAAATAAACAGAAGGATGATGTTAGTAATGACATTATTATGGTTTGTCATAGAGGTTTAGTTTATTTAGTGGTTTCTTGGATTTGTCGCCAGGGTTCATCTTACTTGACTATATACATAATAGTTATTTATATTACAAGTGGGCTAGAAACATAATTACAGTACGAGTGTAGAGAATTGCACGACGAGGTCGTAGACCGAGTCGTGTAATCACACGAGTACTGTAATTATGCCCTAGCCCACGTGTGATATACAGCATTTTATCTACGACTGCTAAAAATTACTAAAAAATCAATTTTTTTAGAAAAGTCTATTTGACATTTATAAAAATATTTTCAAATGCTTGTTGACAATTTTAAATTGTCAGTTTCAACAACATGTTTACTCATCTGGAATAAGTGTTTTGAAATGTATAAACATAACAATTAATGTTTATAATAAATAGTATTGTTTCTCTGTAAGTAGATAACACTTTTTCTTTTGTGTTGTTGCTCATTTCAATAAATTAAATCTGTTCTGATTTGGCTAAAAATGCGTTACGTAATGAAACTAGTGCGGTAATGAACTTCATTACGTAACTCAAATCACCTCAAATGAGTGCGGTAATGATGACTTATTCGGGCAGTCGTAGATAAAATCAATTATTTGTATAGAAGGTATTTGATGTCTAGAAGAAAAAAGCAATAGAAGAAATGAAAAATGCTGAAAACGGCAATTCTGTACTAGAAATAACTGTGTCCGGCGATGGAACTTATTAGAAGAGGGGCTTTATATTGGTGATAGAGATACAGCAACTTTTAATGCCTTGTAGACTATGATTCCTTATCGCGACAACTTTACGGTAAAAAAGGGATGTATGTGTCGCGCGCATCGTGCACGACTGAAAGATATGAAAAAAACATAAAAACCTGGTGAAAAAAGCTAACGGTTTAGTATGGTTTAGCTATCAGGAGACATCCAAATTCTGTTGATGATATGTACAAAGCCCACACAGCAACTTACTACCATCCATTATCTACAAATTAAAATCCGCAGCATATGTATTGCCCAATGAGAAAAGAAAATAAATTGCGTAAAGCCGAATAGAAGAAAATACTGAATGAATTCGACTACCAACCGGCACTTTATCCAGATAGTATGTTATATCTGGTCCTATCATCTTGACCAGTCTTCTAACCCTAGTCCGGATGGTATTGCAACTTTATTCTTAAAAGAGTTTGCTACTGAGCTGTCTACACCACTGCTTCATATTTTTTCGAAGTTCTTACTTGAAGGTGTTTTCCCAAGTATGCGGAAAACGGCTTTCGTTATTCCAATATTTAAATCCGGTGATAAATAGTTGGTATCCAATTATCGTCCTATTTCTATCCTTTTAGCTATCCCCAATGTCTTTGAAAAAATTATCCACGAATATCTTAGTCTCCCTATTTCTCACTCTATAATCAAGGAACAACATTGTTTCCTGTCTGGGCGATCAGTGGAGTCTAATCTGTTGTCCTATGTAAACTTTATTCATTCTGCTTTAAACTAGGATACTCAGATTGACGCAATCTACACCGACTACTCCAAAGCCTTCGACAAAACCGGTCATATTAGTTTTGTACAGAAACTTTTCTACTTTGATATTCCAGATGGTCTTGTTCACTAAATTATATCGTATTTACCTAACAGAAGTCATGCGGTCAGGAT